AATGTTCAACAAGCTCTTTATTCTTCTCATACTGCCTGTGCTGCAGCACCTCTTTTCACCCTCTGTCTGAAACCAGAGCCCAGTCTGCTCTGATTGGTTAGCTGGCCGGCTCTGTTGTGATTGGTCAACCACTTAGAGATGTCCCACCCCTTAGCCTACAATGTGTTGGAGTGCTAGCTGATAGAATGGCACGTGTTACATAGTGATGTCACTATTAGGAAAGTAAACAAAGGACTCCAGTCGAGGTGTTTCAGACAAGGTGTGTGGGGGAGAAACTCCCTCTTTAAAACTTACCAAAATGAGGCCAATGTTGCCATTTTACAATTTTGCATAGCATCATCTGTAAATATTTTGTTATTGTTACACATGATTTGACATCATCTGCACTATTGTATTCAGATGTTCGATAGAGTGTCAATGGTCTCATGTTGCACCATTTATCATTCAGCAACAACATCTCCATCCTAATGGAATATCTCAAAGTGTATTTGGAAAATGTCATAGCAATTGAAAGCAGTTTTATACATTTACAGATCTGAGCTTTCATGAGAAGATCAGAGTCACAGAAAGCATGTGAAACATAGGTTACTCGTTCATACTCACTGCATTTATTCATGCACATTTGTATCTCAACTCTATCTCACAACAATAACATAAACATACTTCTTGTTTCTTTAGCCAAGTATTTTTTAAAGCACTATTATTTCAATCTGTGCCACATCAAGTCATAGGGAGGTGGTCAGGGATGATAGTTTGTGTGTTCTGGGGTCTTGGTTAGCCTCTAGCTGCTGAATGTGTTGTGCACCTAGAATACATTTTCTTGTATGTGTAAAAGTGTAGAATAATGACTTGTTCCCTTTGATCTTGTTCCATCTCCTCTTTTAGGGGACGAAGGCCAGACACAATGTGATCATCTTCAGAGGCTCCAATCCAAAAGACCACTTAAAACAAATTGTTTCAAGCAGTGTAACTTCCACCTATGAATCCCACTGTGGGGAGGGGTGATGAATTAGCAGGGCTTGATTAGAATGTGCTATCTCAGTGGGGCTTCGTGAAATCAGAATAAACACAAGTTCAAACTTAATGGCGTGCCAAGACGCAAGAGCGCTCTCTTTATTTCTCTCTTCATCAAAACAGACTAGCTTAAAACACGCACACATAGAATGTGAAGGGTCAGAGTTTTGTTTAGTGTTGTCATTTCAGTAAATATTATTGCTCACTCTGTATTTCTCTCTTTATAAATCTTCTTGGCATGTTTTCCCATTTGGATAGGCTTGTTAGGTTGTTGTTAGCAACAATAGGAACACATTTGACACTTTAAATGTTATGCTGCTTTAATTACCTGACGTGTAAGAAGCTCAAATTGTCTGCAGGGCTTTGAAAAACATTATAAAACTGTCATTTTAATTTGAAAAGTCAAGACCCGCCGATGTGTTTATGACAGAAAAAGGCTCCTCCTGTCTGATACACTGAGAGACAAAGGCTCAAAGGAAATGTTTAACACGTTTTCAAAATAATTTCACATTTATCATCATGCATAAAGGAGGTGGAGGGATTATATCTCTTCGCTGGCCTGGGAGCGCCTTGGGATCCTCCAGTCAGAGCTGGTTGATGTGGCCAGGGAAAGGAACGTTTGGGGCTCTGCTGGAACTGCTACCTCCGCGACCCGACCACGGATGAGCGGGAGAAGATGGATGGATGGATCATCATGCATTATTAAGTGGTGGCGAGGAGTCCCAGTTGAAGGTGACATCATTTAATAATCCTTTCCCCTTCAATCCTGGGAAAACTGATGTGTCATGATTGCAGCGCTTTAATGTTGTGTTTGGACGAATAATGTTTAATGTTGTGTTTGGAAGAATTACCATAATGTTGGGATCTGTTGTGATGCAATCAGGTTGGTTTATTATCTAAACGACTTATTTAAAATGTTGGTTTTAATCCAATTGCACAAAAAGAACTGTATCCAAGTATGCTAATCCTGCTGCAGAAAAAGTCTGGATCATTTAATGGATGTCATCAGACAGAATTGTTCACATTAATCATTCCTGACTCGTGAGTTTCTGTGAGATAGTAGCCCAGGAACAAAATACTTTCACATCCACACAGCTTTATAGTAAATGGCTGAAAACACAGGGATCTGCATGATAAGGTTTTTCCACTCACGTATTACTTTGGCAGGCAGGCAGTTAGGGAGTGGACGGGCAGTGAGGAGGATTTCGGGCTCCAGCTGGGAAGATGTTCTCTTCTGCAGGAAACATCAGCCAGCGCAGAGCAGGAAGCCAGAACACTTTGTCTTTGACTCAAAATATTATCAGGCCATTGCTGCAAACTTACTTCAAGGTTTTGAGAGCAGACTGTTCATCAGGACCCATCTCTGTCTCACACACATGCATCTTGCGCCCTTTTCTCTTTCTGAGAAATATGTGAGCTTTTTTGAGAGCTGCCCTAACTGAGTTTGATGCAGCTACTCATCAATTTCCCTTTGCTTTGCTTTACTCTTTTTGGAAAACACAAGCAGTTTTAAGCCGAACGTGGGAAACAAAGCCATTCAGGAAAAAACAATTCATGAATGATGTTATATTTGTAGAAACAGTTACCTACACTTATCACCAGCGACGTGCAGTCAGGGGAGGCAGAGCCTCACCTGTCATACTCCAATGTAACGGAAAAACAACTAAAGAAAAACTAAATAGTAATAATAATAAAATGTCTCCACTGATCTGTGTTGTAAGTGTGATTTATGTATGATTCCAATTGCTTTTTATAGTCAAAATCAGCAAATTGGCCGAGCTCCGCTACAACTACGGGTAGCGATGAGAAGTGAGGCAGGGACGAGCTCTGCCTCTCGTAAGCCCACAGTATCTGGCTGGAGCGCGGGCACTAATGTAGCGCGGGCACTTATTTTGTGAGCGCGCTCAAGCCAGTTACTGTGGGGTGAGGTGAGGCACAGATGCAGTAGCGTGGCGTGGGAAAAAAATTAGGGAAAGCCAATAATACGTCCTTTCTTTTGGGTCGGGGGTGTGGTGGTCAATGTAATAACGTAACCAGATGAGTGATTACAGCACCCGGTATCATTTTACACACATTTTTATCAGATGCAGGACTTACACACGCCTGTTATCTAACCGACAGGTCCGCACGCACTCTCCAGCCCAAACTCTAATAAGCATTCATTCACAAACTAAATCAGGAGACCTTTAACGTTTTACGTCCGATTCGTTCCTTTTTTCCTCGCTGTACACAGCTCCAGTTTGGGCATTGGCCTGCCCTGTCATCAGATTGTATTTGTTGTTGCTGCTGTAGCGGAAGTTTAGTACAATTACTTTTGATGAAATACTCCAAATCTCCACCCTCCATAATTGCACTTGCTTCAGTTGCTTGCTACTTTCTAACGGCGGTGAGAGTGATGCAGTGACGCTATCTATCTTCTATCGATTAGATTTATGATTCGAAAATTATAAAAGTAGGGTAGACATGTGGATATTATCCGACTGAACAAAACTTGCATTTATCTAACAGGTTCGTTATCCACTGACCTTATTTCGAGCTATTTTCCAAAATCCTATGGAGAACTCCCATTGCTTTTTTGTCGAGGGAAACCGAGAGCAGCTTACTTCCGGATTATAGGACGCGTCACTACAACACTAAGTTGATGCGATTTGATTGGATTGTGAGGCAAGGGAAGCCAGCCGCCTCTGGCTTCCCTTGGCATGGCCCTGACCAATCACAGGTTGGCAGGGGCATCACGTGAGCCTCATCTGATTGGTCAATCCCTCCATTTTTTTTCACCAAGGGAAGCCAGATTCGGCTGGCCTCCTCTCGCAACAGTGAGTGCAATCTACTGTTTCACCATAATATCTAGAGGGGCGCTGTTTGTTTCACTCTTTGTAAAATACTCAATGAGAATGGGGGAGAGACGGGCCGGCAGCAACACACAGCAAAGGAGAATTATCTAAACAAAACAAAGTGTTTTTATTTATTTATTTAAATTATAACTACAATCCGAAAAAACAGGGGAAGCCTGGCTTCCCTTGGTCTTCGGCCGGGAGAAAACGCCACTGCACAGATGAGCTCTGCCTCACCTCAGAATGCGTCACCCCCAGTCTATGGTCACCCCACCGAAACTGGCTGGAAAGCGGGCCCTAAGCGCATGCCTGTTACCATCTCACTGTATGTCACCAATTTAATGTTTGTAGATCCCTTTATTACATTTATCCTCGCCATCCATAGTCTCTAAATAACTTATTTCCCGTATATGATATTTAGACTCGCTGGTCTCATCATACAACGGCAATGAAAAAAGCACCAGGGGAGGCAGCCATAACCTCTGCTGCACTGAAGCAAGTGAGCCCACAGGTTCTTGTTGCTACTGTTATTCTATGCAGAGACGGTAGACGCGAACAACAAACTAGACTTTTGAAACTACAGGAAGATAAGGAGGACTTTTACAAAAAAGTAATAGATTTATGTCCAGAAGGAAAGCATGGACTTCATCTTCAAGTCAAGGTAAGACCACAATTGTAATGAAAATGGGATCTTACTAAGAAAGAACAATCCAATATTTAGATTTTGGGTATCCTTTTGTTGAAAGGTCTGTTTAAAATGAATCGAAGCATCAGACTAAAAAAGCTTTTGAAAATAACCGAATATTTCGATTAAGGTCAAAATATAATTGTGGCAGCGGGGTGGGGTTAGGGCGCCGGCTGCTGGAGTGAAGGGAGTGGCTCGGCCGGAGGCCAGACAGCTGATCGGAATCAGGTAATCAGTGCCGGAATAAAAGCATGTCGTAACCTGGTTCTGGGCTGTTTTGCAGTAGGCGGGATCCTGGAAGGGGGCAAAAGGACCTGTGAAGGTTGCCACGCGGGCAACGTTGGAGTAGTGGATACTTTTGTTTGGAGCTAATAAACGCCATATATGTTACACGAACCTGCTCTTCCATCCATAATTGAACCCTGTATGAGCGGAGAGGCTCACAGTGGCGCCTGAACAGGGACATCATGGCGGAAGGAGAAACCCCGCTGGGGCAGGCCCTCCAACGTCTCGCTCACATGCAGGAGACCACCACAGCATTACAGCGACAGCAGAGCAAGGCTCTGCTCGGGATCGCCTCGAGCCAGCGCGAGGACCGGGCTCTCCTACGGGAGCTGCTGCAGCGTCCGACCGCTCAGGAGGCCGATCCCGCGACCAACCCGGCCTTCAATTGCCCTCCAGAAGTTGACGGCAGAGGATGATCCGGAGGCATACCTGGACATCTTTGAGGGCACAGCGACGGTGTGCGGGTGGCCAGAGGAGGAGTGTCCGGCCCGGCTATTGCCTCTGCTATCTGGGGATGCGCAGCTAGCCGCCCACAGCCTGCCAGCAGCCTCTCGGCATGTGTACCGGCATCTGAGGAAGGCCATACTGGACCGGCTTGGCAGCACGCCAGAGGGACATCGCCGCCGGTTCCGGGCCCTCCCCTTCGAGGACGCTGACCGGCCCTTCTCCTACGCGCAGCGGCTCCGGGATGCAGCGAGCCGCTGGCTCCAGCCGTGGGTGCGCTCCGCTGAGGAAGTCGTCGGGCAGGTGGCGCTGGAGCAGTTAATCGCCGGCCTGCCATCTTCGACGGCGAATTGGGTCCAGTGCCATCGCCCCACCAACCTGGAAGCAGCCGTCGTCCTCGCGGAGGACCACCTCTCGCTTCCCCGGCGGAGCATGAAAGAGGAGCCCCGACCACCAGCCGTTTCAGCGGCCCGACCCGTCCCAGCCCCGAGGAGGAGGTTTCCGGGAGCAGCTGCCCTTCCCTCCCCACCACCACACGGCCCCAACCCCGCAGCCCCGACACTTTTTCCCCAAGCCCTACCTTACCCTCCTGTGTTTATCTTTCCCCAGGGTCCGGCCTATGCTTCTGGTCGTCCGGCAACACGGGGGGCTCCTCAGACGTCAGGGCAGGATTGCTGGCGGTGCGGGCAGCCCGGCCACTTCCGACGGGAGTGTCCTCTCATGGAGGTCGGACAGCTGGTTCGGGTTGCGGGACCGCCAGTTGCCTCCCCCGATTTGGAAGGGACGTACCGTATACCGGTATGTATACAGGGGGGGTACACACCAGGCTCTGATGGACACGGGCTGTAATCAGACGATGATCCATCAGCGCTTGGTTCGGCCTGGGGCATTGATTGAAGCATCGTGGGTGAAGGTGAGGTGTGTGCATGGGGATATTCACCAGTACCCGGAGGTGACGCTGGAAATTTCTTATAAGGGGAAAAAGCATAGAGTCAGGGCTGGAGTTAGCACTCGCCTTACGCACCCCCTGATTTTGGGAACGAATTGGCCGGGGTTTGCTAAGCTAGCGGGGGCTATGGGGGTGCGTTCACGGACGGCAGGGAAATGTGAGTTGTGTGCGGTGTTTAGTGGAGAGTCGGAGGCGGCTGACGACGTCGAGGGGGAAACTGACACAGAAGGGGCCGCGGAGGCCCCTCTGGACCCGCTGGTGTTTCCCGTGGAGGATTTCCCCCTCGAACAGTCGAGGGACGAAACCCTTCGGCCAGGTGGTGAGTATTGATGGCTCCCAGCTACACCCAAACGCAGCACTCACTCACCCACACTTTACGGTGGTTAGGGACAGGCTGTATCGTGTAAGCCGTGACACACAGACAGGAGAGATAAATACCCAGTTGTTGGTGCCAAAAAGCCGTCGGGAAATGGTTTTCCAGGCGGCTCATTATAACCCCATGTCAGGTCACCGGTACGACAAATCACTACACCGGATAATGTCCCGATTTTATTGGCCGGGCATTCGCGCAGATGTGAAGCGGTGGTGTGCATCTTGCCGTGAATGTCAGCTGGTTAACCCGCCGGCCATCCCCAGAGCGCCTTTGCGCCCGTTACCATTGATTGAGGTGCCTTTTGAGAGAGTTGGTATGGACCTCATCGGGCCATTAGACCGGAGTGCACGGGGATATCGCTTTGTACTAGTCCTAGTGGATTATGCAACGCGATATCCCGAAGCAGTGCCGCTGCGTAATATCTCTGCAAAGAGCGTCGCGCAGGCACTGTTTCACATTATCTCCCGAGTCGGGATCCCGAAAGAGATCCTGACTGACCAGGGCACACAGTTTATGTCACGCACACTACGCGAGCTGTATGAACTACTGGGCGTCCATTCAATACGGACTAGTGTTTACCATCCGCAGACCGACGGCCTAGTGGAACGGTTTAACAAAACACTAAAGAACATGGTTCGTAAGTTCGTTCACGAAGATAGTCGGAATTGGGATAAATGGCTAGATCCTCTGTTGTTTGCAGTGCGGGAGGTGCCCCAGTCCTCCACGGGATTTTCTCCCTTTGAGCTTTTATTTGGTAGGAAGCGCCAGGGTGTTTTGGACCTAGTTAAGGAAAACTGGGAGGAGGGTCCAAGCACCAGTAAAAACGAAATACAGTACGTTATGGACCTGCGAGCAAAACTCCACTCACTGGGGCAGATATCACTGGAGAATTTGCTCCAGGCTCAGGAACGTCAGCAGCGCCTGTACAACAGAGGGTCGAAACAATTTTCACCGGGAGATAAAGTGCTTGTATTACTCCCATCCTCTAGCTCTAAACTACTCGCCAAGTGGCAAGGACCCTTCGTGGTCACACGACGAGTGGGGGACGTAGATTATGAGGTGGTGCGTTCTGATAGGGGAGGAGCAACACAGATTTACCACCTTAACCTCCTGAAAGCACGTCTGTTTCTCTGGCCACCACGGTGATTGAGAGAGATGAGTTGGGACCAGAGGTCATTAAAAGCGACAAATTAGCCCCGGTCTGTTGTGGCGACAATCTCTCACCGGGCCAGAGAGCAGACGTTGCTTCGTTGGAAAGGCAGTTTGCCGACGTGTTCTCTCCGCTGCCAGGGCGCACCTCTCTCATACACCACCGCATAGAAACGGCCCCGGGCGTGGCCATTCGTTCACGGCCCTATCGGCTGCCTGAACATAAGAGGAAAATTGTTCAGGCGGAGCTTCAGGCTATGCTAGAAATGGGAGTGATAGAAGAGTCCACCAGTGACTGGTGTTGCCCCGTCGTGCTGGTACGTAAGTCCGACGGGTCAATCCGGTTCTGTGTGGACTACCGCAGGGTGAACGAGGTGTCCAAATTGGATGCTTATCCAATGCCCCGGGTCGACGAACTCCTGGATCGGCTAGGCACCGCTCGCTTTTACACGACGCTGGATTTAACCAAGGGCTATTGGCAGATTCCCCTTTCTCCAGAGTCTAAGGAAAAAACGCCCTTCTCCACTCCGTATGGTTTATACCAATTCATCACACTTCCTTTCGGGTTGTTCGGAGCTCCAGCCACCTTCCAGCGGCTCATGGACCGGGTGCTGCGTCCCCACTCTGCATATGCTGCTGCTTACTTGGATGATGTCATCATTCACAGTGAGACATGGGAGCAGCATATGCAGCAGGTGGGGGCAGTGCTCGAGTCCCTGAGGCAGGCGGGGTTCACGGCCAACCCGAAGAAGTGTGCGGTTGGACGGAGGGAGGTACGGTATCTGGGGTACCACTTGGGCGGCGGGCAGGTGCGGCCACAGGTAGAGAAAACAACCGCCATTTCCGCCTGTCTGGCGCCCAAGACGAAAAAAGAGGTCAGGAGGTTCATGGGGCTGGCCGGTTACTACAGGCGGTTCATCCCGTCCTTTTCGGAGCTGACCAGTCCCCTGACCGACCTGACCCGAAAGGGTGCTTCAGATCCGGTCCAGTGGACGGAGCGGTGTCAGCTGGCGTTTGAGAGGGTTAAAAAAGCCCTCTGTGGTAAGCCGCTTCTGTATTCTCCTGACTTCTCTCTCCCTTTTGTGTTGCAGACCGATGCCTCGAACAGTGGGGTGGGGGCCGTTTTGTCCCAGCAAGTAGAGGGGGTCGACCGCCCCGTACTGTACATTAGCCGTAAGCTCGCCCAGAGGGAGGTGAACTACAGTACGGTGGAAAAGGAGTGCCTCGCCATACGGTGGGCGGTCGGCGCCCTGCGGTACTACCTCCTGGGGCGCCCTTTCACCCTCTGGTCGGACCATGCCCCGCTCCAGTGGCTCCACCGCATGAAGGATGCCAACGCTCGGATCACTCGGTGGTATCTGGCGTTACAGCCTTTCAACTTCAAGGTGATCCACAGGCCGGGTAACCGGATGGTCGTGGCTGATTTCCTCTCTCGCTCAGCGGAGGGGGGGGAGAGTCAGCTTGCGGCCGGCGGGATCCCGGCCTGAGTCGGGCGGTGGGGGTATGTGGCAGCGGGGTGGGGTTAGGGCGCCGGCTGCTGGAGTGAAGGGAGTGGCTCGGCCGGAGGCCAGACAGCTGATCGGAATCAGGTAATCAGTGTCGGAATAAAAGCATGTCGTAACCTGGTTCTGGTCTGTTTTTGCAGTAGGCGGGATCCTGGAAGGGGGCAAAAGGACCTGTGAAGGTTGCCACGCGGGCAACGTTGGAGTAGTGGATACTTTTGTTTGGAGCTAATAAACGCCATATATGTTACACGAACCTGCTCTTCCGTCCATAATTGAACCCTGTGTGAGCGGAGAGGCTCACAATAATATTTGTAAATCTGACTCTGAAAGAGTCAGTGCCTCACCAGCCATGAACCTCACCGCACGTCACTGCTTGTCACCCTCCCTCTGCCCTGAGGTTAATTAAAAGGTGTGCAGTCATAAGTGTTAGCATCTCCACTGTGTATCTCTATGTTGTTTACTTTATCCTGCGAAACTTTAGCTCTGGTATGGATTGACACTCGGCGTCACAACACCAGTGGATCACAAGCTAATGTGTGAACAATTTGGTGTGGGGGTTTCGTGTGAAAAAGCTGTTTTTAAACCGTTATATATTGGGAATTTGAATGGGGTCATGAGAATGCTGATTTCAGGAGAGCCAAGCATGTTTTTATCTAAAGATGTATTCTTTCTTCAGATGAAGATCTTGTACAGCTCTGTTATTATGACTGTTTTATTTATACAGCACCTTTTATAACAAACTGCAGCTCAAAGTGTGTACAAAAGAGTAACATCTGGCTTTTCTCAGACGGAATGTACTCTTTAGTAGGTCACGGAAAATATTTCAGTACTTTTTGATCTATTTATGTGAGGAAACTTGAAACTGGTTAGAAGAGTTGCCCTCGGTCACACTAGAATATATCCGGAGTTCATGCCAGTTGAAGTGAGATATGACCCCCATTTGATCCTGCAGTCTTTGTTGATCACAAGGATAACAGATTATACAGAGTATGCGTTAAGATTAGCCCTCTTCACTGAAGATTAATCCTGGCTCCAAAATGGTTAAACGAGCTTCCCATTGACATCAGGACAATAATAGTGAACATATCTCTCATCACAAACTGAAAACCTGTTACCTTGCCTTAAATAAATAAAACAACTTAATGGTTTAGCCCATTTGAAAATAATGCACAAGCACATTAATGGATTGTATTGAAGGTGTATTTGAATTGAATACACCTTCGCTTGGATAAAAGCATCAGCTAAATGAAATGTAGATATGTTAAAGTAATGTAAAATGGCCGATTGCATGTACTCCTGTATAGAGAGGCGAAGTCCCTCCCTTTCCGGTGGACCTCCATGGGACCTTATTTCGGAAGAATTATGTATTGAAGTCAATGGTGAGAGAAAGATTATCTTTCGATCCCGTTTCAATTGTGCCACGAATTACACATATGATGTTTGTCAATTTAAAAGATAATTTTGCAAGTAAAAAAAAAAAAGATGTGTCGTAAAACTGTGAACTAACGAAAAGTATTAAAAGAGATGAAAATCACTCCAAGTCTGGGCATGTTGAGAGCTGTACATACACACAAGGGGAGTTAGTCGGTTCCGTAAGAGCCAGCATGCGGGACCGGGATTCTGGGATTTGTAGTCTTTCTAGTTGCCTATTTTTCATAGTCTTATATTTCAACAGTTTTACGACAAAATGTGACTTTTTTTACATGGAAATGATTTTTTAAGATTGACAAACATCATATGTGGAATTCGTGGCACAATTCAAACGGGATCGAAAGATAATCTTTCTCTCCCCATTGACTTCAATACATAATTTTTCCGAAATAAGGTCCCATGGGTCGGAAGTAGATGGGCGGGACTTCACCTCTCTATAGCTGCTTGACGCTTTCTCCAGAAATACTCAACCTAACATTTGACTGCTCTTTCTTAGATCCTCAGATGTATGTGTATGTCGCAGAGATCTCCGGTCACAGTTTTTTAAAAATCTCTTCTTGAAAGTACTGTCTCATCTAAATAGAACTTTCTTGGGACCCATCGCAAAACGCTAGCCAAGTGACAAGTGGATAAATTGAACAATTGTCGCCAAAGTTAAATTAATTAGGGCAGAGATTCTCTAATTGTAAGTACACGCAGTGTTAGCACAAACAAATTCAACATTAACCATGACCATAAACAATCAGCTTCTCTATTTGCTGGAGCCTGGAGGCATGTACACGAGATCAGTTTCCCCATAGTAACATTAAAGTTTTATCTCTGTATTGTTTTGTTCTCATAGTTTCCATTGAAAAGCTGATAGCTTGGCCTGAGTAAAGGATAAACCCATAGAGGTGAAAGGCAAGGTTTACAATCATTTATTCATGATTTCTCTGTGGGATCAGTCCGTTAACAATTTATTACTTTGGCAAGTCAAAGAAAAAACGTGAGGAAAACTTGTCTGACCCGAGACGGCCTGGATGAGTCTCTGTCTGTTTCTTTTCCTCTCCCACATTAGTTTGATCGATAACACTGACACACACAAACATCAGGGGTCATCCATCAGCCTCGTACCAGCTCACAGATAGAAAGCAGGACATCAAATATTAACGCCCACAACTCCTCTTGGCATACAGCACAACTCTGACACATACAGTGCAGTGAATAATTGAAACTCTTCCGCAACTACACCTCTAAAACCACTGACTCACAGCTGTGGATGGTTGGGTTAGGTAATCAGAGCTGCAGTCTCACGCTGAGCTCACTTCCACTTCACAATCCTCAGTACGGTTTAATGGTTAGAAACTGAGCAGAAGTCAGGAAAACTGATTCTACTTGCCAAAAGTTGTTTCAGTGGTAATTATGTTATGTGTTTCTTGACAAACTCAAAAATCTAAGTCTGTGGGGCTGTTTTGCTTTAGTGGCCATAGTTGGTGTGTCACAGGTCACATGACTCCCTCTGTCTGTCCCCAATATCATTTTCTGCTCTACAAACAGGGTGTTTCTCGATGTCGAGTACGCTTGCTTGGTAGCACATGTCTTCCGAGCGTCTTGCTTCAGAAGCGAGGCAAGAATACTTCCTGGCATTCGTAAAACGAAGAGTGGAACAGGCGAGCAAGTGTGCAGGTGTGCGTCATATGAGAGGCCCCGCCTTACATTTTCCGCCACAGATTTGGGGAAATTGGTCCGTGCGCAAAGCATTGTGGGGATTTTAAGACCGCGGAGTCTACACATGTGCAGCCTCGAAATTTCTCGCTATGAAGTACGCCGGGCTTGGTAGAATTCCAAGTATGCTGGACATTGGAACAGTCCTTCGGCGGCACTCGAGGACGTAGTATGCTTGAAATAGTGGCTCTGGAGCAGCTTTACTCGACATTGAGAAACACCCACAGTCATTACAAAACTTGAATGGCATTTGGAATAGTGAAATAATGGTCTGTGTACCTCTCAGATTTGCTCCAAAATGTATTTGGTTATTTTTGCCTATGCTACCGTCTTTCACCGAGTTTCAGAAGTCAAACATCAGGCTTGGAGTCTTTAGGTAATCCTTCTGACACACAGATGGACCAGTACACCTACCAACAAAGCTACAAAATTCTAAAATTGGCATGTATTTTAAGCGTGGCAAAGCATATAGCAGTTTCTCAAAGTGCTACATCACGTCCTGCGGTCCAAAGACTCTGAGCCCTGCTGCAGGATCCAGGGGTTAGTGTTGTATAAATAATTAAGGATTGGAGACCTCCCACAACAACAGGTGCACGGAACACTTCCTACACGTAACAGGGTTTCTTTGTATTAAATCAACCCGGCAGGATTTCACACAAGGCTCCTTGTTCATGTGCATGAAGATGATTAACAGAGATAATGAAGAACAATGGACCTGCACCACATTCCGCCTCACTACACAAACAAAAGGAGGGATAAGTTACAGGATGTATTAATACAGACGGTACAGTTCACAGCTTCATTATACTCATCTTCTTCGTTCAAGGGCTTTCTAAATTGCAAATGCTACTCTAACGTAACATCCCTGTGTTTCTTTGGGGTGCCTGCAGCAGAGAACTAACAAGATGACAGTTTGTTGTAGTAGTTGACATCTGCAGCAACAAAAGCCAAAGGGCTAAAGAGGTTAGGAGGAGGGGTGTTTCAGTGAGAGGAAAGGTCCCTCACCCCATCCAATTAAGAGGCAGGATGTGCCGGAAGCTCGCATTGATAAAGCCTCATCACAACATGGAGTCAGCGGGTTGTTAGTGCTCATTCTTATGTTGCAACACCATGCCACACATCCCCTCTGAGAAATCAACACGTCTAAGTCTGCACAATTACAGCGCATTTTCTCACATGCTAATTTTTATGAATGAGCCATATGGTTGGGGTATGAGGGGTCTGTTTCCTCAATCAGAAGTGCCATGGCAGAGAGTGTGTTAGGCATCAGGCAATGCTGTGGGAGATGAATCAGGGGAGGTAGGGTATGTCTGGGTTTCTTCAGAGGATGGCCCCCGGCCCTCTCCCAAAACATATGTGAGTGATTATGACAGATGGGGCCCTGGACAGGGGCTGGAGGAAGGTGATGTCTTGTCAGCTTTTGGAGGCGTTGCTTCTATACTGATGTATCGTGAGAGTGACTCATTTGGCTTTGAGAGTTTGTTTTTCTGACAAAAACATCAGCCCTTACTGTCTTTTTTTTCTTATGCAATCCCTTTCTGACTCAGAGCTTCATGGTCTTACAGAAGACTGGGAGTAATGTTTTTCTAATGACATTACTGCGTGCAACTCTAATCTGACTTAAATACTGTTTTTTGGACCATAAGTCAACCATGTTGTTATTGTCTATCATTATTCACCCTCTTTTTCATCTTCTGGAGCGAATATGAGTACAGAGCCATGCTCATTACTAAATTAACCAGTTTAATGAAATTCCGTTCTGAATAGTCACAGTTCTTCCTAAACTAGAGAAATATATGTATTTGTGCTATTCCATCTCTTTAACCGTTGCTTGTGAGCTGGACTTGGATCTCACTCTGGGGTAATATTGATTTGTTTTTCTTATCATTCTGAGCTTTACCCTCCAGCAGCATCTTTCCTTTT